CAAATCTTGCAGAGCAGGCAACAACTAGTGGTTAAAAGCGAGCACAACTTTCTAGTAATCGACGATAGGAACAAATCTGGTCAATTCATCGACGTTCGTGTGAAAGACGGCTGGATTGGCATGTTTGAGCATCTGTTGCCTCCTTAAATCGTTGCGTATGGAGAGCGGTGAACATCCTGAACTTGTAACCTTTATTGCAAATTCTTCTTCATAGGTAGTTTTCCTTAGCTTATGGTTTTTTATAATGTTCACAATTTCATGCAGCATTGGTAGTTCATACTTAAGGGATATTTTCTGACTGCCGCGTGCTCAGTTTTTTCAAAGTTGTTGTTAGGGTTTGAGTGTGATGGTGGTGACTCGTGGTTGTTAGAGATTGTTGCACTCTCTCCAGCGATTCAGACGTTTGTGATGACTTGAGATGGTGTTGACGGATATGGTGTGTTTGGATTCCCACAGTTGGATTTTCGTTTTATGTAATATAACTTGTTGTTGTTACCAGTACAAATATAGAAGCTTGTTGCATTCCTGAGGCTATTTCTGCTCGAAAATCTTTCTTGTTAGCTTTGACCAAACGTGTCACTTACCGAGACTAAGGCCAAATGAGGTTAATTTGCAAGTGAGATGGTGTCTGCCGAAATTCAGTGTTCCCGGTGGCGATCCTCATAACAGTGATTGCAGCGACAGGTTCGAATAAGACGCTTTTTAGTGAGGATCACTTTGTTCTCCATTACTGGGCAGATGTTGGGTCCGCAGCTGAAAGTAATGTTGAAGAACATTGCAAAAAGTGACTGCCAGGTTTGCTTCGTGAAGTTGAATGTAATAAATAATCCGTTCGCATCGACTGGATCTGGACTACGTAATGAATTTTAGCTGTTGTTTGGCTTTGTCTATGATGTATTGCCAGCCGGACGTGTTTTGCTTTCATCGTTGGACAAAATCGAGCCAGCCCATAACTCAGTGATGAATATGCAGTCGTTGTGGTGCTTTAGGTGCTCATCAATCGAGTACCACATGAAGAAATATGTTCAACGATGTTGAAAGTCGTCGCTGTTCTCTGCAATATCGGTACGGCTACTAGCTACGTTGACAGGGTTTCATGTAGATACCGTATCCATTGCAGCTTGTACATCTGATTAGACTTTCCTTTCGCTTTGCTTAGTCTCTTTCTAATGAATGTACAGTGTAGAC